TCAGTGACCTTTATTTGCTACACAGAAACAGTCTTCATGCACATTTGCACATATATACAGATTCAGCAAATTAAGGATTCTGGCTATTAGACATCTCACACGCGCATACTATCAATCAGGCAATGAGCCCACTCAAAACGTCAATGCCATCGTCATCAAAAAGCCAAATACCTTTTAACATCACCGCCTGATGTCAAAACCACACCACCTATGTCTCCTATAGATTCTAAAATTATCACTTAAATTCATGAATTACCACCATTATAAAACCATTTTACAACAAAGATTCATACTTTGCACAAATCAGTGACATATAATATTCTAAAATAGCAACATTACAATATATACAAATCACATATGAAAACAAATCTACTCAAAAGTGGATATGAGTACAAGTTCATAGTTCAGTCCTTCAAGTGACAATGTCTGCAAAGTGAAGTATTACTAGTATTATTCACTAGTATTGTGGCCCTGGGAACAGTTGAATGTGTGTTAGCAAAATGTAAACTTGTACAGAAAAAAGAATTAAAAATCATGTTTTTACCCAATGCCACTGATGAACCGCATCAACAGGAAGAGCCAGAACCATGGAGCCAAGCTAGCCAGACCCCCAAACAGCCCATTGACTGTCAGAGACACAATCAAAACCCTGCGACGCCCCTTCTGGTCAGCCAAGTAACCCCACATGTAGCCACCCACCATCATTCCTGGAAAACGGGAAAAAAAGATGAACTTGGTGTAATCAGTGGGCTCTGTCAGTTGCCCAAAACACTGAGTTACAGTCAGGGAAAAAGGTATTTGGACAATGACAGCTTTGCTCCGTATACAGTGGACTGTAAATCTGACAATCAACATGTGAATTAGGCGCAGATTTTCAGCTTTAATTGAAGGGATTTAATAAAAATATTACATTAAAGTGATTTTATTGATAGTTCAACATTTTCAGAGGCTTAATAATATTGATAAAATGGTTGTATATTCAGTTATGGCTCCAGTTTTATAAGAAAGGGTTACAAAATAAGCAGAGAGCAGAGGCTAATAACGTCTTGTGTGTTTGGCTTGTGTAAGGTCTTGTGGTGTTACGGCACATAAATCAATAAACTTAAAAAAAAAAAAAAAAAAGGTTTCTCATTTCCAAGTTCCGCTTCAAACAGTTGACCTATTACCAAAAAAACAGTTGTTTCATTTTCTGTGAAGGGGAGTTTAGGGTGGTTGACTAAATGATTCACCGAGGAAAATGCTTGCTGTCAGCAGGCCCATGTCTGAGGAGCTCAGCTGGAGATCACAGCGTGCCGTTGGCAGCAGAAAAGAAACACAAAGAATCTCCACAGCATCGCTGGCATTGGCCCAACCACAAACCACCAGCAGCAGCCAATGGAACAAACCAAAACCTGAGAGCAAAGTGAATAAACAAAGGGGAGAAGCAATTCATGATTGACTCGTTGCATAAAATATTCATTTTATGTCATAACCACAAACACCTAGGTATTACACCTCTAAAGGTATAAAGTGTATACCTAAAATCTTAAATAAGCTTATTTTTCATATGCTTTTCTCCTCATATTTACGATGACTAAGTGCAAAACAAAAAACATTAGATTACCTGCTCTTTCCACTGCTTCCTCATACGTCAGTTTCTGCAGTACGTGCCCACCAGCTTCTGCTGTTCTGTCAAAAATGACTTCACCTATAAGGCAGCCAAATACACACTGTCAAATTCCATCCATCCATCTTCATCCGCTTTATCCGAGGCCGGGTCGCGGGGGCAGCAGCCTAAGCAGAGAGGCCCAGGCCTCC